CCATGATTCTGTACGTCAAAGTAGTAGACAAGTTTTCATCAAGTTTATAAATTAGTAAAATGTTAATTTTAATTTGAAAGCACATTAAAATTTTTAATAATAAACTTAGAATTAAGTTTGAGTGGCTTGAGATTCAATTAATTCTTGGTGTATCTAATTTATCAATTCGCATTCATTGTTTTATTATTTTGATTTAATCCAGTGAATTATAAAATAGTTATTTGATATTTTCTATAATATTTTATTATTATATACAATCTAGATAGAACCAGATAAGAATCATTAATAAAATAATTAAAAAGTTAAAAAAAAAAGAAATGGTGGTAGTGATAGTACATAAGTAGAGTGAATAACAGTAACTGTTATGAAGATGTAATAACTAATCACATTAATTACTTTCTTATTTTTTATAGAAAGAATCTAATTCTTATTATATATCAATTTCCATCATGAGTTTTTAGTAGTTTTATTTTAACTAATCAACGTCATGTTTCATAATTAAATTCATAACAATGCAAGTCACTAATACTAAAAATGTTAGTAAAAATTTAGAGACAATAACTAAATTAATATTTATAAAATACTTTGCATTTATCTATTTTTATTATTTATAAATTGTTAGAATTCTATAAATTTAATAAACAGTTATGATATTCTGCAATATTTTAAATGTGGTTTATCTTAAAATGAAGTGTATTATTAAAAAATAAGATAAATAGAAAATGTATTTCCCCTACAATTAATTTGTAATTATGAGTAATATTATTTTGTAACACATACTCTTTTAATTTACATTTGTTAACAGTAGAATTTAACTTTAAATAATAATGAAATGAGAACACCCTAAATAATTATTGCCATAATGGTTAATAAACAATTAATAAAAGTACTATCTAACTTTCTTCTTTATAATTTCATATAGCTTTAATTATCTAACAGACGATTTAATAAATTATTCATTTGAACACTAATTCTTACAAGATAATTCTTTCAGAATAAACTTTTTTTGTTAAATCAAACATAATGAAAGTTATTGACAGCAATTGTCATAATAACATCTTTTGTGGTCTACACAAACATAAAACTATACTTTGAAAATAAACAAAACAACAATTAAATAAAAGAATACTTTTAATTATCTTTTTTTTAAAAAAAATCCTTTATCATTTCTTTCAAGTAAATTTACTAGTTTAATATGTATTACACTTCTTCTTTGAATTGATCATATTCACCCCAATCATCTTCTTCTTTCATTTCACTTTTCCTCTTTTCCATTTCTTTTTCGTTTTCTTCTTTTTCTATGGAATCATCAATTGTAATTTTACTCAAGTCAATTCCAATTGATTTTAAGTACTCTTTACTTTCTTTTCTATCCCAGAAAGCATCTTCTTTAATCTTCTTCCACACAGGACCTTCTTTCCCATAAATACAATCCATAATAAAAGTGGTTGTTTCCCAAAACATTTGTTTTGTTATTTCATCTTCTGATTTAATCTTTTCATTAATTAGTAAATTTAAGTACTTATCAACGACTCGTTGCCCAACTAACACGTATGGAATTTTTAAAGATGTTGCTACTATCTCATCATTTTTTTTATCAAGTTTTGAATACAGTGGGTAGATTGTTTCCATCATTTGTTCTTCAATACTGTCTCCAACAATCTCACACTGTTCTTTACTTTGTTTAAGTTGTAAACATCGATTAATTGCCCGTTGTCTCCAAACAACCCAAAAGTCATCTGCTCCATAAACAGATATGGCCATAATTAAGGTTATCAAATTTATAAAACTAATACGTACCATCATAAATACTTGAGAATATTCAGAGTTCATTCCAACAAAAAAACAAAAAACAAAAATAATCTTAAAACAAAAATTCAAACATCAATAAATTTTTATATTTTTAAGTATTTTGATATCGTTTTATATAGTAAAATATGATCAAAGTCAAAAAATCAAATGATTATTATAAATATGAATGACGTTTATTTTTCAATAACTTTAAAAACTAAAATTATACTAAAATAAATTATTATCTTGAAGAAAAGATTAGTAAAAAAAATAGTATTTAAATAAGAAAGTTATAATTTTTTAATCAATGACTCTTATCCAAAATTTAAAGAAATGTTGAACTGAAATTAACTAAAATAAACATGGAACCAGCTATAATTGAAGAATACCTTCGTAATATTGATGAAAATAATAAGAAGACACAAGATACTTGTGTTAAGTATATTAGTGAATATAACAGTTCTATATCTTCACTAGACCAATTTATGCAACAAATTATTCGCTCTTTAATTGTTCACGACCATTTACTAAAGAAAATCTCTGAGGAAAATCTTCAGTTACAAACTCAGTTAGTGACTTGAAAAAGAGCTCTCTGAATTAAAACAAACCCAGCCACTATACAAAGCCAAGTACTAGTCTTCTTATGACGTCGTCCCTCCTCAT